GAAAACCAAATTGAGAAGGAGAGAGGTGGCGATGGTGTTCCAAGAACCACATCAGACGGACATTTACCATACGCTCAAACAGCTTGCAAACACAACTCGTGAGAGCAATAGGGCGGAAGTCCTTAGGGGACGTACCGAGAGACCCTGGTTTGCGAATAGGGAGTACAACGGCATCGAGCCAGTCCTCAGTGACGGACGGCGACTCCCAGACCTGGTTATACAGATTCAGTAAATACTGAGACGTGCACGGAGGGAGATGGCGAAGCATCTCATAATGAACGTCATCTGAGCCCGCCGCCGTAGATCCGCAGAGGGCCAAGGTACAAGGTAGACTGAAGTTCAGAATGAGAGAAAGGATCGTTATAGGGAAGGCGGAGATGAGTGCGGAAATCTAAAGGATAAGATTCAAGAACCGGCTTACGAAGAAGGAAGGATTGAGGAAGATGAGAACCAGAGCTAACAGAAGAAAAGTGGGAACCAGTTCGGTCGCAACCTGCACTGGATCTGCCACAAGAGTACCACAGAGGTGGAGAACCGGCGAGACATCTGGAACGAACTTGCCCGCAATCTTGTGGATCTTCTTCCAGACAGAGCAGAGGGCAGCGTTGAAGACAGTGTCATAAAAAAGGAGGGCGCGAGGAAGAGGCAGAGAGGAGAGGTCAGAGAGAGTAGCACGGAGGGTGAATAGGCACCAGTCAGCCTTGGCAAACTGCCACCTAGGGAAGGAGAGGTGAGGGTGGAAAGAGAAAAAAGAAACGAGGATGGGGAAATGATCACTGTTATGGAGGTCATCAAGAACCTGCTACGTGAAATCTAAGTAAAGGGACGACGAGCAGAGAGAAAGATCAAGACAGGAAAGGGTGCGAGTTCGAGAGTTCACATGAGTGGGCTCACCTGAATTTAGAAGAGATAGAGAAGAAGCGAGGACGAACAGTTCGAGAAGACGGCCTCGGGTGTTTGTCAGAACATCACCCCAGAGGGAATGTCGACAGTTGAAATCACCCAAAAGGAGCACCAGCTCTGGCAAGGAGTCCAGGAGGTGCTTAAGATCAGGAAGGGAAAGCGGGACATTTGGGGGGAGATAAATGGAACAGACTGTATACCATTTACCCACAAAAATACGGGCAGCAGAACAATGGATAGGTGACGGTAGAAGTAGGGGGACGAAGGGAATATCAGATCGAATTAAGAGAGCATTAGAGTTACGGGCCCCAGCAAGAGCTGGTGGGGGGGGGGGGAGAAAGAAAGTAATAACCACGAAAGTGACCAGGACGAGCACCAATCATGGGTTCCTGGAGACAAACACAAAGCGGTGAAAACTGTGTAATTAGAAGTTGGAGTTCGTGGAAGTTGGCATAAAATACACGAATATTCCACTGAAGAATAGACATTACCAAAAAGAAAGGACAGTAACAGAGAACAAGAAAGAAATTAAGGTATAGAAGAACACAGTTTATTAAAGAATCTCAGGATCAGGAGCAGGGTCGGCAAAATCAGGCATGGGTAAACTTAGTAAAGATAGAGGGAAGGGAGCAAGAGGACAGACCAGAGGCGGACTGACGGGGTCCGGAGGGGGATCAGACAACTGAGAGGGGCAGGCAAGGACAGCTGGAGGGGGGGGGGGGCAGAAGTCAGGGAGTGCACCTCAGCAAGGGCAGCAACCGAGAGGAAATTGGGGGCGAAAGAAACCTCCATATCTGGGACAGGGGGTTCGACCACTGAAATGGGAGGGGCTGTAGTGACAGAGTCAGAGGGAAGGGGTGAGGAAGAGAACGAAACCTTCTTACCCGCTGGAGAGGAAGGAGAGGAGCCAGGCTTACTTTTCTGACTCGAAGAGACAGGCGATCCAGTAACAATGTACTGAGTGACAGACTCAATGGTCTCAGCAGGAGAAGAGGAACGGGAGCGAACAACATGAAGGTTGCTGGGAGGATGATGGATATCAGCCTGGACAGACAGGCGGCGTGGAGGGTCAAGAGACTGGGGGGAGGGTCGGGAAGAAAGAGTGGGGGGAGATGGGGAAGAAGACAAAGGAGATATGGTGGACTGGGTAGGAAGGGGGGAAACCCCAGATGAAGAACCGGGAGGGAGATCATCTGGGACAGGAGGCAAAGGAATAGGGGAGAAGGTGGTGGGTGTGGTCAGGTTTAAGGCCTGGAAACGATTGTGAGTCTGAGAAAGATGGGAAGGACGAGGAGAGGTAGAACGCAACACGCGAGCGTAAGAAACGCCCGCGAAAGGGGTGAAACAACGAACTTGGCGTCTCGCTTCAGGAAAAGACAGACAATCACGGTGATTCAAGTTGAGGACGGCTTCCTCGAGTTTGTAGTGCATAGACAAGCGTGAGAAGGTAGGGTGGGCCTCACCGCAATTGAGACAACGAGCCTGGGAAGAAGTGCACTCGGACTTATAATGACTATCGTCCCCACACAAGGGGCACAGATACACAGTACTGGTGCATTTGAGGACACCGTGCCCGAACTTCCATCACTTAATGCAAAGTCTAGGAGAAGGAACGTACTCCTGAATGGAGCATCTGGCATCAGCAAGAATAATAGAGGGCGGAAGGGCCCTACTATCAAAGGTGATTTTTACAACTCGAAGGGGCTGACGACGACGACCACGAGGGGGTCGAGTAAACGTGTCCACCTGGAGGACTGAATGGCCTTGGGCTTCGAGGATATGTTTAATATCCTCATGGCAATCTTTGAGGTCCCGAACACCAGTTGCAATATGGTGTGGGAGGAGAACAGTGCCAACACTGGCATTTAACCGAGCGTTTTTGGAGACCCGAACAGGGGTCTCTCCAATGCAGGACAAAGTGGCTAAGTGAGTAGCTGCATCCTGAGAAGGAGCAGTGACGACATGTGTACCGTAACTGGTGGAGTTAAAAGTAACAGAGGCATCTACTGAATCAACAAGGAGTTTATGGAGGGAGAAATCGTCAGGAGGAGTAGAATCCAGATGGTGGAGATCAAAGTATTTAGCCCACGTAGCGGGACCAAACAAGGTGTTGTAAGTACTATTACAGGAAGGGATCGGGCGAGTGCGGCTGTGGCGGGGACGGCGTTGAGAACCCCCAGAGAGAGAGGGGGGGGGGAGGTAAAAGGCGCAGTAGTCACAATGAGAGACGAAGCCGTGCCAGGGGACGAGGTGGTCACCACTGGGGGCTGGGGACTCGACCCTACCGCAGAGGAGGGAGGGGAGCTGGGGGGAGTAGTCAGGTCGTCGGGGCCCAGTGCAGCGGGGGCTACGGGGCCTGGTCTTCCAACACAGTCCGACTCGGGGGCTTGGTCGCCCACCCCACGAGCCTGAGTAGGAACAAGGGAAACATTATCAGCCATGAAAACGAGGAAAAAACTTTCATTCACGAATGTGCCCCCACACCCACCATGGAGCCACAATTAGAGGCAGGACACCCAACAAGAAGCTGTCGCCGATCATGCCGGGGGCCCCCCAGGGGTGCGTCGTGAGTATACGCCCCACAAACGCCACCTTAAGAACCGTGAGTCCGTCGAGATTGGGTTCAGTGACGAAAGGGGGATTGACAATAAAAGGCTCTCGACATCGGGTACTACAGTTCTACGGGTGCAAGAGTATGCCTCCTCAAACACCCGGGCGTCAAAACAGAAGAAGTCCAAGAGAATAATCAAAACAGGCAAATGGTCGGCAGGAAATGACAATTATAAAGGAGAAGAGGGGGGGGGGGAGAAAAACGAAACACAAGTTGTCCTTCTTCAGGACAATTACCAGGCCACGAGAATCACCAGCAGCTCCCGCTGGGGGACCCCCCCCCCCCCACGAGGAACCGTCACCAACAGACGCGGGCGAGTCTCCCGCAGCAGGACCCACGTGCCCCACCCGGCAACAGGCGCCACAGGCACCACAGCATCGCCGGAATCCTCAACAGACACAGGAGAACGAGGAGGGGGGGGGGCATCATCTGAGGTTACAACACGCGAAGCATCAACCCGCTTGCCAGGGAGCCCCGTATTGCGCTAGCACTCCCTCGACGCTCGCTTTCGTCGAGGAGCAGGGGGGCACAAGGAGCACACCACCAGGAGTAGCAGAAGGCGGCACCGCAACACGTGCAGCAGGAACCCCACCATCCCCGAGGACAACCCCCGGGGGGACGACAACATCGCCAGCCGCAGGAAGCACACCCCACTCGACACGAGGCACCAGCGCCACAACCACAACACCACCCACATCCACCACGGAAGCACCAGGAACCGGATGCACTGCCACATCCACCGGAAGGTGAGGACGTGTAGCAGGGGCAGCCAGGTCCTCCCCGCAAGCCGGCAGGGGGACACAACAGGCTCAGACGGAACATCAGGCACAGCCGGGAAGTCACCAGGTAAACCCGCAGGACGAGGACCCACCAGGGAGGCAGCCCGCACACTCAACGGGGGAAAATCTCTCTCCTGAAAAACAGAAGACGTCTCCATGCAAGGAACATCACATATCTGGCCGCGTCATGGCCCTCCCCATCACACTGATAGCAAGTGAGGGGTTGACAAGGATAGATGACTCGCAGGTAGACGCCACAACACAAAACTTTTGAAGGAATGGAGCCCGTGATACGCGTTTGAAGCGTACGAGTACCCAGACGGAGACCCCGCAGCCGCCCCGCACTCAAAACGTTGTACCGATGACGCAGCATCGTACCAAAGCGTGCAAACACCGAGGAGAGCTCCGCCTCGGCATAGTTCACAGGCACACCGTGAACGCTCACAAAGGTCAGGGGACCCCAGGGATCAGAGACCGCCACCGATAAAGCCGTACCAGGAAGGAGAACCGTCAGCTCATTCCAATGTTCTACGAACTGCACATATACAGGTGACGTGGCAAACGTCACCGCCACACAGAAGGGCGAAAACTTCTCCAGACCGAGAAGATTCGTAACCTGCACGTCCAACCCATCCAGGAGCGCAACCGCCACTTGCTCCCAATCCACCGCAGCAGAGAAATCCAAACGCACCGTATCCACACGGCGGATGCGGCCACCACCAGCCGCCGCCCCGGCCATCAGCAGCCCGCAATCAATTAGTAGTTATCAAAACTCTCAGGTTGGTGGTGGCAGCTGTTAAGAGGTCTCGAAGAGTCATACAGAGTAGCTGAGGAAGTAAAGTGTCCTCGTGTTGGGATGTCTCGGCGATCAAACGCCAAGGTCACGAGGGTTGTTGGCTGAAGCTTATATTAACAACTTTTAATAATAACGACCAGAATTTAACCAGATTGATTGAGGTTAAAGGCTGAGCCCCGTTACAGGTTGATGACTCCAGGAAAGTCATGAAGCGGCTTATTAACTGGGTCGTCTACATGATTTATTGATTAATTTCCAAACTGGTCACGTGTTACCTGTACTCCATCTGGTCACGTGTTACCTGTACTCCATCTGGTCACGTGTTACCTGTACTCCATCTGGTCACGTGTTATCTGTACTCCATCTGGTCACGTGTTACCTGTACTCCATATGGTCACGTGTTACCTGTACTCCATCTGGTCACGTGTTACCTGTACTCCATCTGGTCACGTGTTATCTGTACTCCATCTGGTCACGTGTTACCTGTACTCCATCTGGTCACGTGTTACCTGTACTCCATCTGGTCACGTGTTACCTGTACTCCATATGGTCACGTGTTACCTGTACTCCATCTGGTCACGTGTTATCTGTACTCCATCTGGTCACGTGTTATCTGTACTCCATCTGGTCACGTGTTACCTGTACTCCATCTGGTCACGTGTTATCTGTACTCCATCTGGTCACGTGTTATCTGTACTCCATCTGGTCACGTGTTACCTGTACTCCATCTGGTCACGTGTTGTGTTATCATTCAGCGATTAACTTCGTATTTAACAAATTATATGATTAATAATGAGACATCTACAATAATGTTCTAACTTAATTCAATGCAAAATGAGAGAATACAGTATAGTTATGATCATGATAGACTATAATGGCGCAGCGAGGTGTTAGTGTATCATGTGTTTATGTTGGCCAGGCGGCAGTCACTCTCAGCCTCCAGAGGTGCAGCACCAGCCTCCAGAGGTGCAGCACCAGCCTCCAAAGGTGTAGCACCAGCCTCCAGAGGTGCAGCACCAGCCTCCAGAGGTGCAGCACCAGGCTCCAGAGGTGTAGCACCAGCCTCCAGAGGTGCAGCACCAGCCTCCAGAGGTGCAGCACCAGGCTCCATAGGTGCAGCACCAGCCACCAGAGGTGCAGCACCAGCCTCCAGAGGTGCAGCACCAGCCACCAGAGGTGCAGCACCAGCCTCCAGAGGTGCAGCACCAGGCTCCAGAGGTGCAGCACCAGCCACCAGAGGTGCAGCACCAGCCACCAGAGGTGCAGCACCAGCCACCAGAGGTGCAGCACCAGCCTCCAGAGGTGCAGCACCAGCCTCCAGAGGTGCAGCACCAGCCACCAGAGGTGCAGCACCAGCCACCAGAGGTGCAGCACCAGCCTCCAGAGATGCAGCACCAGCCACCAGAGGTGCAGCACCAGCCACCAGAGGTGCAGCACCAGCCTCCAGAGGTGCAGCACCAGCCACCAGAGGTGCAGCACCAGCCACCAGAGGTGCAGCACCAGCCACCAGAGGTGCAGCACCAGCCTCCAGAGGTGCAGCACCAGCCACCAGAGGTGCAGCACCAGCCACCAGAGGTGCAGCACCAGCCACCAGATGTGCAGCACCAGCCACCAGAGGTGCAGCACCAGCCTCCAGAGGTGCAGCACCAGCCTCCAGAGGTGCAGCACCAGCCACCAGAGGTGCAGCACCAGCCACCAGAGGTGCAGCACCAGCCTCCAGAGGTGCAGCACCAGCCTCCAGAGGTGCAGCACCAGCCACCAGAGGTGCAGCACCAGCCTCCAGAGGTGCAGCACCAGCCACCAGAGGTGCAGCACCAGCCACCAGAGGTGCAGCACCAGCCTCCAGAGGTGCAGCACCAGCCACCAGAGGTGCAGCACCAGCCACCAGAGGTGCAGCACCAGCCACCAGAGGTGCAGCACCAGCCACCAGAGGTGCAGCACCAGCCACCAGAGGTGCAGCACCAGCCACCAGAGGTGCAGCACCAGCCACCAGAGGTGCAGCACCAGCCACCAGAGGTGCAGCACCAGCCACCAGAGGTGCAGCACCAGCCTCCAGAGGTGCAGCACCAGCCACCAGAGGTGCAGCACCAGCCACCAGAGGTGCAGCACCAGCCACCAGAGGTGCAGCACCAGCCTCCAGAGGTGCAGCACCAGCCACCAGAGGTGCAGCACCAGCCACCAGAGGTGCAGCACCAGCCTCCAGAGGTGCAGCACCAGCAGTTTTTACGGTATTGACGCCGAAGAGAACGGGTCATTTTGGAGGGAATGTGTTGGTAAGTCCTTAAGTCTGGGAGAAATATGTGATAAAGGAGGAATGTTGTGAGGGAAGTGCGGGTCTGGCATAGTTCTGGTGTGGAGGTGCAGCCGGCCGCCTGCACCACCACTCCTGCTGTAGGGCGCCCCATGGCTGCTTCCACTCTAACTCCTCCATCCAACATTGATGGTTAACAATCAACACCCTTGCTGTAAGGCAACGCATGGGTGGTTTTGGTTTAACAGTTGAATGTATCCGGCTGCTTGAGGCATCATCACCTTTATTAGAAGGCATTATGTGGGTTGGTTTTGCTTGGTCAGGCAAAAAAATACTTGCTTATTCGTGGAATTAGTGCATACTTTATGGTCTAAAATGCTCTCCAGTGGCAAGCAATCATCAACCTTATTGACGGTCTCCAGTGTAAGTGCTTCGTCTGACTCAATTTCTTCTTTTCTAACTTGTTATTAGACAAGTGTAAATGTTCAGTTCCTTGTCACTACACTGGTACAAAGGTGCCCGGACCAGCGGTGTTACAGGGAACACACACGCTGGTGGAACACGCACACTGGTGGAACACGCACACTGGTGGAACACACACACACTGGTGGAACACACACACTGGTGGAACACGCACACTGGTGGAACACACACACACTGGTGGAACACACACGCTAGTGGAACACACACACTGGTGGAACACACACACACTGGTGGAACACACACGCTGGTGGAACACACACGCTGGTGGAACACGCACACTGGTGGAACACACACACACTGGTGGAAAACACACACACTGGTGGAACACACACGCTGGTGGAACACACACACTGATGAAACACACACACTGGTGAAACACACACGCTGGTGGAACACACACACTGGTGGAACACACACGCTGGTGGAACACACACACTGGTGGAACACACACACACTGGTGGAACACACACGCTAGTGGAACACACACACTGGTGGAACACACACACACTGGTGGAACACACACGCTGGTGGAACACACACGCTGGTGGAACACGCACACTGGTGGAACACACACACACTGGTGGAAAACACACACACTGGTGGAACACACACGCTGGTGGAACACACACACTGATGAAACACACACACTGGTGAAACACACACGCTGGTGGAACACACACACTGGTGGAACACACACGCTGGTGGAACACACACACTGGTGGAACACACACACACTGGTGGAACACACACGCTAGTGGAACACACACACTGGTGGAACACACACACACTGGTGGAACACACACGCTGGTGGAACACACACGCTGGTGGAACACGCACACTGGTGGAACACACACACACTGGTGGAAAACACACACACTGGTGGAACACACACGCTGGTGGAACACACACACTGATGAAACACACACACTGGTGAAACACACACGCTGGTGGAACACACACACTGGTGGAACACACACGCTGGTGGAACACACACACTGGTGGAACACACACACACTGGTGGAACACACACGCTAGTGGAACACACACACTGGTGGAACACACACACACTGGTGGAACACACACGCTGGTGGAACACACACGCTGGTGGAACACGCACACTGGTGGAACACACACACACTGGTGGAAAACACACACACTGGTGGAACACACACGCTGGTGGAACACACACGCTGGTGGAACACACACACTGGTGGAACACACACGCTGGTGGAACACACACACTGGTGGAACACACACACACTGGTGGAACACACACGCTAGTGGAACACACACACTGGTGGAACACACACACTGGTGGAACACACACACTGGTGGAACACACACACTGGTGGAACACACACACACACTGGTGGAACACACACACTGGTGGAACACAAACACTGGTGGAACACACAGACTGGTGGAACACACAGACTGGTGGAACACACACGCTGGTGGAACACACACACTGGTGGAACACAAATACTGGTGGAACACAAACACTGGTGGAACACACACACTAGTGGAACACACACACTGGTGGAACACACACACTGGTGGAACACAAACACTGGTGGAACACACACGCTGGTGGAACACACACGCTAGTGGAACACACACACTGGTGGAACACACACGCTGGTGGAACACACACGCTAGTGGAACACACACACTGGTGGAACACACACACTGGTGGAACACACACGCTAGTGGAACACACACACTGGTGGAACACACACACTGGTGGAACACAAACATTGGTGGAACACACACACTGGTGGAACACACACACTGGTGGAACACACACGCTAGTGGAACACACACGCTGGTGGAACACACACGCTAGTGGAACACACACACTGGTGGAACACACACACTGGTGGAACACAAACATTGGTGGAACACACACACTGGTGGAACACACACGCTAGTGGAACACACACACTGGTGGAACACACACGCTGGTGGAACACACACGCTAGTGGAACACACACACTGGTGGAACATACACGCTGGTGGAACACACACACTGGTGGAACACACACACTGGTGGAACACAAACATTGGTGGAACACACACACTGGTGGAACACACACGCTAGTGGAACACACACACTGGTGGAACACACACACTGGTGGAACACACACGCTAGTGGAACACACACACTGGTGGAACACACACACTGGTGGAACACAAACATTGGTGTAACACACACACTGGTGGAACACACACACTGGTGGAACACACACACTGGTGGAACACACACATATGTGGAACACAAACAATGGTGGAACACAAACACTGGTGGAACACACACACTGGTGGAACACACACACTGGTGGAATACACACATATGTGGAACACAAACAATGGTGGAACACAAACACTGGTGGAACACACACACTGGTGGAACACACACACTGGTGGAACACACACATATGTGGAACACAAACAATGGTGGAACACAAACACTGGTGGAACACACACGCTAGTGAAACACACACACTGGTGGAACACACACACTGGTGGAACACAAACACTGGTGGAACACACACGCTAGTGAAACACACACACTGGTGGAACACACACACTGGTGGAACACAAACACTGGTGGAACACACACACTGGTGGAACACACACACTGGTGGAACACACACACTGGTGGAACACACACACTGGTGGAACACACACACTGGTGGAACACACACACTGGTGGAACACACACACTGGTGGAACACACACACTGGTGGAACACACACACTGGTGGAACACACACGCTGGTGGAACACACACACTGGTGGAACACAAACACTGGTGGAACACACACACTGGTGGAACACACACACTGGTGGAACACACACACTGGTGGAACACACACACTGGTGGAACACACACACTGGTGGAACACACACACTGGTGGAACACACACGCTGGTGGAACACACACACTGGTGGAACACAAACACTGGTGGAACACAAACACTGGTGTAACACACGCTGGTGGAACACACACGCTGGAGGAACACACACACTGGTGGAACACACACTGGTGGAACACACACACTGGAGGAACACACACGCTGGAGGAACACACACACCCTCCCTATCTCCCCCCAACACCCACACCTTCTTTATGTTGGATATCTGGGCTTTGACTCATATATTGAATTATTTAATAACGATAATTAACATAAATCGAAGGACCAGCCACTTTTGAGAAAAGAGGGACAACAACTAAAGGTGATTATAAGATAGACACTATAGAACCAGTGCTTATGGATGATAATTGATTTAGCAATCACTTAAAAACAATGAATAGACTGTATTAAAGTCAAAGCCTCAAATATCAACATTGGGGTTATTTCTAGAAGTTCATATATATCTAGGAACCAGCGTGGTTCGTCACTAGTTGATTAAAAGGTTAGTAACATGGCAAAACTAAACTAGAATGTAGATTCAGATATGACATATTAGATAACCAATATATTCAAAGATTATTAAATATTAAGAAACAATAAATATAGATTCATTAAACACCGAGTAATAACTTCTTGCGTTAGATTTTTCCCTTTAAATATCCTATATGAGAAATTATATAGAAACTACTAATAATCTTATTCAAGATTTCTACGAAAACATTTGTCTTAGCTTTAAGACGACTTCATTAAGTCCATTGCGTTACTCGTCCACGTGATCACCAGATCCCAATAATGAAGGAACCAGTAGTGAGCCTCGTAGGTGAAGAGAGACAACTTGTTACATCCTCGCCTACACGTTGCAGTCATGGAAATTTGAGTAACATTTGATTAGGCTATGAATTATTTCAATATTCATTGAAATTGAAATAAAACGGGAAAATCAACTAACATTGTAGTATAGGTCTTCTTGCAACATAACGACAGACTATCTCCCCTAACACCCACACCCTCCCTATCACCACCCCCCACACACTCCCTCCCTATCTCCCCCAACACCCACACCCTCCCTATCACCCCCCCCCCACACACCCTTCCCTCCCTGTCACCCTCCCCCCACACACTCCCTCCCTTTCTCCCCCCCCAAACACACCCTCCCTATCACCCCCCCAACACACCCACACCCTCCCTATCTTCCCCCACACACCTACTCCCCCCCTATCATCCCCCCAACACACCCACACCCTCCCTACCTCCCCCACACCCACACCCTCCCTATCTCCCCCACACACACCCTCCTTATCTCCCCTACACCCTCCCTATCTCCCCCACACCCACACCCTCCCTATCTCCCCCACACACCCACACCCTCCCTATCTCCCCCACACCCACACCCTCCCTATCTCCCCCACACACCCACACCCTCCCTATCTCCCCCACACACCCACACCTCCCTATCTCCCCCCCCCCACATATTTTCACCTTTTTTGCAGGGATATTCCTCTGCGGGCCGTAAGCCTCTGGCTGGACCAATGGGCGGGCCCTAAGCCTCTGGCTGGACCACTGGGCGGGCCCTAAGCCTCTGGC